GAGATGGCCAGGCATCCAGGAGCTCTACGGACCTCTTCTCCGCTCAACGCCTACCTTCGCTGTGGGAGCTGATGGCGACTACAGATGGGAGGAGCTGCACAAGAGAGTCGTTGAGCATGTGAGTGCCACGCAGCGGCGATAACGGCAGTCAACTTGTGCCGGATGCATCGTTTTTGACTCCGGCCCCAACTTTGACATGGCAGAATATTCGCGTCGTGAGCAAATACTACACCAAGATCACCCTGGCAAGACTCGCAACCTTGCTAGACTTGTCGGTGGAGGAGGCGGAAAAGTCACTCGCCGCACTTGTCACTTCGGCCACGGTATGGGCCAAGATTGACAGGCCTGCTGGTGTAGTCAACTTTGAGAGGAGAAAAGAGACTTCGGAGCACCTCAACGCGTGGAGCAACGACATGGGCCAATTGCTGGGCCTGGTCGAAAAGACTTGCCATTTGATCAGTAGAGAGCACGCAATCTCAAAGGCGGGCTTGGTTGCTGCCCAACAGTAGACGCAACACTTGATGCAAATGAGATGGCTTTGAAACCTTGAGTCGTGCGTGGTGAAGGAAGGAGCCGAAGTACTTGAGCGGAGACTCTATGTGTGCGTGTTGCAGGTGCGGCAATTCGTTGACAAGGCGACAAGATCGACAAGACGACAAGGAGGCTTCAAGTGTTGTGGTGTGAGGTGCGCCAAACCAGCGGAATGTGTATGATGGTAATGATTGAGAAAAGGTCAAGGGGACTTGCGCGAAAGGGTGGTCGTTGTTCCACAAGGAGGGAAACGGATTCAAGGAGTTGCGTAAAGTTGCGATGAGCTTTGATCAGCCACATGAAAAGTGTCGTCACGGAGAGCGTGCGTGCGAGTGCGCTTGCTGGATCGGAAACGAGAAGCTGCTTTTCGAACGGAAAAAGCACCGCTAGCGGTCGACGATCCTTTCTCATGGTGCAGCATTCGAGCTACGTGCGTACCATGCCCGGCGCGAAGCATGCTGTCCCTCTTTCCGGAGCGCTCGCCGATGGCACCTTTGGCATTCGACAGCTTCCAAACGCCAAATCCCCGTCCATTCGACTCGAGCCCTACAACGACCCTTTCTTGATGGACAGCCTCCTCAAATTGACCCAAGAAGCCTGCGAGTCATAAAGAGAGAGGGGAAAATGTTAACTTTGGCCCGCCTGGACGCGTGGTGCTGGCTGCTCACTGGTCTTGGTGGTACGGATAGCTTGCTGGCGTGTAATCGGCTGTCCTGAGCAGCCGGAACGACCACAGTGGCTGCAGGGGCTTGCAGCATCGATGCCCGTGCTCAGACTCCATGCGCTGCCTGGGCCTATCAAGCGGCTGGGTTGGCCGACAGCGGTTGCATTGCCCATCAAGGCGGCGACGGCACCCCCGGACACATTCCTGGCATACGGCTGGCCGTTGCCCAAGTGGGTTGCGACGAGGTGCGTTGGGTCGATCAATCGGCGCTGAGCTAGGACGGCCGCGGGCACGTCCTTGACTTCGCCTGTCGTCGGGTCGCTGTACGCGACCAATTGTGAAGATGTGCCCCATGCCCAACTGCGCAGAGCGGTGCGGCCATATGCATAGCCGTCAACAGGTATGTCTGTTCGAGGGGCGGCTACGGCACTCACAAGAAGAGGATGATCGCTACTATAGCGTGTGTATAGAGGATACCGATGAAGAGGAAAAGAGGCGCTTTCTCGTACTGCTGAGCGAGTACAGGCTGCCAGCCCCTGACCTCGACGTCCTGCTTTTGCATGAGACCGGCCGGAAGGGCCAAAGAGCTGTAGGCTAGTGCGCTAGCGAATTCAAAAGCGAATTCCTCTCGCGACAGCCTGTCGGTGAGACGAGTCAAGGATAAGACAGTAGCTTCCGTGACACCGCCAGAAACGAAAGGACCTCCGAGAGCATGCACTAGCGCCGGATCAGCGGGTTTGCGGGTGTTGAGAGTGAAAGAGCCATTAAAGAAGCTGAGAGTCAGTTCTTCCCAGAGCATTCGGCACTTGAAGGCAGCAAACGACGCGCCTCCGGCTGGTGCTCCGATAGCCTTGAGGCTAGACTGATTGACGGACAGTGCCGGACTAGCGGAGAAGATTGCAAGAGCGGACAGCTCCATGGGGTTGCTTTTTGGTCCCTGTACACTCTCTGACTCTCCCAGTGACTTGCCGGCTTGGTCGAGAAGATGAAAGCGGCTTTGAGACGCCCACGAGCTGGTGTCGGTCGGGACAATGCTGCCGCTCAGTTCGGGATGGCCAGTCTTGCTGCAGTTCACGTTTGTTCCCATGCTCTCGCATTCGTCAGTGAGTACCTCGCACTGGGAACTGATACCCAAGGTCGACGAGGAGAAGATATCTTGACGTCGAATTTGAGATGCACTCAGGTATGCGAGCGGTGCGTTGGAAGTTTCGGGATCGGGATACATTGAGATCTGACGCGTCCTGCTAGCATTGTTGACGACCAGCCAGCCCTCTGCTGCGGTGACCGAGTGTTCATTGCCAAAGAAGGGGAGGCCTTCATCCGCGCCTCTTCGCACCAGGCTTAAATCCGGAAGCAAGCGGTCTTCGTGACGTCCATTGAGATCTTTCGAAGCTCTCCGCGCACGATCACCGACGACCTCTGAGCGTGGCACCTGTGCTGCAGCTGGGAGAGTGACCAGACACGGGAGCTGCTGCAAGTCTGCGGTCTGATTGCAAATATGGCTATTCAGAGACCATGACATGCCTTTTTGGCTAGTGAAGGTGTCGACGTCGACCACGGAGACTGAACGCAAGATGCTAAGTGTCAGCGCCTATGCCCCATGAAAGTGGCACACATGGACTGCTTACCGGTCCTAGTGCTCTCGTGCAACCAAAAGTCCACCCAAGCACACGCAGATGTCAGGCCGATCAGGACAATAAGCCAGGCAACGGCTTTGCGTAGCATGTTAGGGACCGAAGCGTGGGAGCCCTTGCTCTTCAACATATGCTTCACGCTGTGGGAGACTTGGAGATCCAATAGCGTTGCATTCGTGAGCGCAAAATTGACCCCTGTGCGCGAGTGAAGACTCACTCGATTCCAAGCTGTTGGCGCCGCACACTTGCAAGAGGAGAGCGTACTGCAACGGAGTCGGCAGCTGCTCGACCTTGTCGGCACTGCCGCTATTGGCAACCTTTTCTTGGAGCGTGAGCCAGTCTGCGGCGAGCGAGTACGCGACGAGAGACATGGATGGTGCGACGCTGAATCCGACCAGGACAGCGACTATGCTGGTGAATGTGAGTGTGACTGGGTGCGACACCTGTTCGTCGAACTTCAAGACTGCTTCTGGACCGAGCGTTTTGTCGTGGTAAGAGCGACCCAGCTCATTCTCGTCGCCCTCTCGGAGGTAGAGCACCCCTTCCGATTCCAGTGGCATCTTGTGACCTACAATCCATGCAATGATCACCGTCGCTGCGCCTGCAGTGAGCAGCAAGACTAGAACGACGGGCACCGCGAGAAGAAGTGGTGGCACGAAGCGCTGTGCTGCCGTGCTTGCATACAGCACGGCACCCGAGTGAGAGTTGCTGGGTGAATCAGATCCTTCATGACGCTTCTCGCCCACCCCGGCTCCCTGCTCATTTGCATGCGCCAATCCGACAACTTTGGTGCTCTGCGCATCGTCGTCGGCCAAAAAAGACTTGGATGGGCCGGGCGAGTTGCTAGCCAGCGTAGTGGAGCTGTGTCGTGCTTCTGATCCAGGTAGAATGTATGGATAGCCGCTCCAGGTGTGATCAGCTGCAACTGGGGTAGATAGCGGTGCCTCAAGCGCGCCACGTCGGTCCTGAACATGCTCCAGAGCCTCGTGAGAATTTTCGTCGTACCAGCCCTCGTGAATTGGCGGAGCATCGGCTGAGCAGTGCTCTACCACGACCTCGATCTCGCTCGGACGAGAAGACACGTGACGGCGTGAAGGAGAGTCTGAGGGATTGCTGCTCATGGATGTGCGACGGCGGCTAACGAGTGTCGTTCGCAACCAAAGATTCAGCATGAGGGAGATCAGGGACAGACGGTCGATCGACGCGGGACACTTTGCTCACATTGAGGAGCCCGAGACGTGTCTTGAGCAAACGTCTCGTCTTGATCCTGGCCCTCCATGGATGTCGTGCGTAGACCCAAATTCGTCCACTAATCGCTGGCAACTTGCTCTACTCTCCTGCGCATACCTCCCTCCGGTTCTGCGCGTCGTTGTATCCTGTGAGTAGGATCTAGGCATGACTGAAGATTGCGCTCGCACGTTGCACAGGACCAAATTTCTTCTGTTCAAAGAGAGTCGAGATGGTCGGCCATCGGGTCCAGGTGCTGGGGACAAGGTGAAACAACAGAGCCGAGCGTAGCAAGTGAGAGTTTGGGTGCATTCAGTAAATATGTTCCCGGCGTGTTTGGGTGAACCGATTTGGACGGCTTGAAGCGGACGCAGACTTTTGACTGCTCATTGATAAAGACGCATTTGGCTTTGGTCTGCGCTACGGGTTGGGTGTAAGCGCTGAAGCTCGCAGGAGCCCTTTCCGTATCGCGCATATAGATAACACCGGCTAACGCCTCAACGAGATCTGGGAAAGCTGGTGATCTTGCCGAACGGCGAGGGCGCATACTGCACATGCCACCCGAGCCTGACACTCGATTGCAACATACCGACGACAGGGGGGTCCAGGAGTGTTGACACTTTTGAGAGGAACGCTTGTTGTGTGGCTCGTGCACAGTCCGACGGCGCTGACAGGGTCGTGTAGGGATCAAGCTGGATGAGCTAGGTACAGTGTGAGTGCCTGAACAGTAGTCAGTGTGTACACAACTCCTGACTCGCGAAATCTCAACGAATCCGTCGCTTTCGTTGCTGGAGTGCCGAAGCTTCTGGCCGAGCGGCCTGCGTGCAGCGCGGCGTTGAGCGCGCAATCACGAATCTAGCTCCTGCCGGCGAACGTCCCACGAGCGGTCACAGCCCATAAGGGCACTGGGATGGAGAGGACCAGACTGCGTCTGTATCAGTAGCCATTCAAGATCGAAGTGAGTACCGCGCGCAGCAGAGGCGGCGGAAACGAAGGCCTGCAGCAGCCTGCGCGTGAGTGCATCTATCTGCTCATCGAGAGGCATGTGCTTCGTGATTGGCGCAAGCAAGGAGGCTAGCACGTACGCATCCCGCGTATACGGTACATGTACCGTACATGTAGATGCCGCCGGCGTCGATCCGCTAAGTCTCGCTTAATTGCCGACCATCCATCCCATCAGCATCAGCATCAGCATCAACATCAGCATCAGCCAGCTGCTGCTGCACGCTCAACGGTCTCGCAGCCGAGTCTTGCATCCCACCCGCGCTCCACACACGCGTCATGCACAATCTTTTTCTATTTGCGGCACAGAGCGCTCGACCTTCAACAGCACTCGAGAGTTGTGAAGGCCGATGGTCCTACCGCGAGAAGTTGTGAATTGAACAAAATTGAGCTTGTGGCGGCCTCATCACGCTCAGGAGCGCGAGCGAGCAGTGTCCGAGGCATAAAAGAGCAGCACAGCTTCAACGAAAAGGCAAGCTGGGCTGCTCGCCGCTCCAGTCTCGAGTCATATAGAATTTGTATGTGGATGAGCGCGCGCCTCGATCACGTCCTGCTATACTCACGACTCACGACTCACGACTCACGACTCGCGACTCGCGACTGCAGAGGCCAGACGTGGTGACGAGCATCGCAAGTCGAGAGCGACGTTCGCAGCGGTAGCTACACGCTGCCGATTGATCCGTGGTTGACACCGCCCAAAAGCGACTTCGAACCGGTCCGGCTTCGAGAGAAGCGTGTCGGAGCATCGCCCAGGCCTCGTAGGTACCTCGATTGATACTCGTGACTGATGAGCAGTGCCAAAGCGTTATCCCTCATTGCTGGACTGCGAGTCGTCTAGAATGGATTAGGCGCGATATGATAGTCTACAATTTGAGTGCAGCAAGCCCGAAGAGTCTCTATGATGTAGAATTGGCGCGCGGAGAGGGACGCGGCGAAGCCAAGTGTACGAGGAGTGAAGACTGTCTATGATCTCTTGTTGTCTTGCTCTGCGCTGCCAGACACATCCGGAATGCCTGGATTTCGTTGTGAGGGCAGCCCCTGCTGTTCCCTCGCAACGTCCACCATCAATCGTAGCTTCTCGAGGATCACGAAGATCAGGATTGTCTGCATGCCACATACGGGACAGCAGCGTCAGCATCACAAGGAGCACCCAGCCACGACGGCGCCTTCAGATAGATCCACAATGCTCACATTTGGTGACAATCTCACCCACGCCGGTGTCCAGCCACGGAACAAGAAGCCGATGCCCTCCTTTTGTATCGCCCGCTGCAGCTTCGCTATCGTACCACCGCTAGCGCCGTTCGCAGACATGACTCGAGCTTTGATGACGCTGCAGCGAAGGCAAACTCTCAGGAGTCAGCGAAGCCATCTGAAAGTGATCGCAACGCGTTTCGCGACTCACTCAGCTGGGCTGCAAACGGTGGTTGCAACCGTGCCTGCCAGGAAGCTTGCACTGAAGTGAAGCCATGTACCTTCCTTGTAGAGCCCAGTGTTGAGCAGGGAATGTTTGAAGAAGTCGTACGTTGCAAGCTGAGATGCGTTCATGAGCACCGCTCTTGTGACGTTTGGGACGATACCGCGGAACAGCGACACGGGACCCTCCGTGACAGTCATGCGGTAGACCCCATGTAGAGCGTGTTTATAATTATACCGCTCTGCTGGTGGTCTGTTGAGGTCTGACGTCATCCGCACGAGAATGATGTCTAAGACAAGCAGAGAGCAGATGCGACCGGCTTAAGCTGCGAACACGCAAGAGGCCGCCGCGCGCTGTCTGCAAGCGCACTCACCAGCTGGGTTCCCTGCTATACCTCCTGCGGCGCCTGCTATTGAGGCACAAGCTGCTAACTTCCACGCGGGCAGGGGTTTGCTAGGTGGTCCATCAGACGGCGTTCTGAGCTCTACTTTCAACCAGTCGTAAGCCCCAAACCTGTGAAGAAGGGGCGACGAAAGATGAGCAGAGCTCGAGAGCGCCCAGAGCAGGATCGCCAGTCGGTGACAGGTGTTGGAAGGTCGCAGCAGTTGACGTGCAGCGCAGCTCATGCGTTCGATCGAGTCACTGTTCCTGTCGCCAAACTCACCTGGTGACGCTATATGTCATTTGCCGCAGCAAGCTCGCAGTCAGGCCAGCATACAATCCAGATACCCCATCGTGCTTTGCGGTGCCCTTGAGTGCATCCCACATTCCCTGCTTTGCCTTTGCAGTTTGCATCCGGTTCTTGACGCAGTCCAGTGGATGTGTCACGAACGATGCGAGACATGCTGCTACACCTCCGAGGTAGAACGGGTATGCCGGCGGCTTCGGCCTCCTCTGAGCCGAAGCAACACTTGACGAGGCTGGAGAAGCCATACTCTTGTCGCTTTACGGTCCCGCGCGAGACTCGAAGTTCTCAGCGTCGTACCGATAAGAGCAGGCAATGCCCAGCGCAAGGATGGGAGAGTGAAGCGGCTAATTCGGAGACGTTTCAGAGGGGAGACCGCGGCGGAGGAAGGAGATCTTAGCCCTTCTGTGACTCTTGTCAGAGGAACCGCCTTGAAGCCCTCCAGCACGTCCAAGGGAAGCGGCAGGGTTGGTGTCTGCATCGACAAGCTGTTGTAGATCCTGGAGACGAGGGGCGCCCTGAACTCGCGACTAGAAGGGAGCAGCAGCTCGTTGACTCTGCGCGTCTCTGCTTCTGTCTGAGCCAAACTTTTCATGCCGACACCTGCTGCTGCTGCGCCTTCGCGGCCTTTTGTCGGCATGCAGTTCCCACTGCTTGTGCACCAGCAGGACTCCCGACTCGTGACGACACTGCAATCTTCGTTTTTCGGCTCATGCATCGGCAAAACGCCTTCGACGTCAC